AAGAGAGTTCCGGGTAATTTACGATTCTGTTTCGAGCTAGTGTGTGTTTTCGAGATTGTGAATCGCTGTGATTTATAGCGTGTATTATAAGAGTAGTTAAGTTTAAAGTGACGAGAAATGTACTGACTGTGAAATTACTGTGTACTAAAAGTTTGTGTCGAGAAAGAATAAACTAGTTTAATCAAGAAAGGACTTGTATCGCTGAAGTTCCTCGGAAAGAATTTCTACCGGAAATTAACAAGCAAGGAGATACGTAAAAATATTTTCCTTTAGTCTTTCTACTCGTAGAGCTGGTTTTAGGCAACTAGTCAACAGCACTAGCCGCTCACACGATTATTCTTAACCGAATAGTAGTTTTTAGATCTGAGAAGTTCTGAGCTTGAGCACACATATCTGTTCCTAATTTATAAGTTATACTTTAACTTCTTTTAACACACGTTCGTACTAAAGACAAGTAAACGAGTCATGAAGAAAATGTATGTAAGCCTGATGACTAAATAGAAACTGTTTTATGCATACTCTTTTGTATAGGTTTTCGACTATGAGCTATTTTGTTTGATTTTAAGTGCATCATATATTTGAGAAAAGGTTTAATATTACACTCGTAATATAGTCTTCAGTCGATTTTTTATTAAATTCGTGTCTGTATATTTAAAACCTAACAAAGGCTGTAGGAAGGTAAGCGATGTTTTACGTGGTGAACTGGTCAACAATTACTAAGCTCAAGTCCAGTAATGATGACGATTCTTCATAGGGAGAATCTGTTTTAAAATACTCTGACGACTTATTAATATTCATGCAGTTCTTTTTTTTCAGCTAAATATATTATTGCACAAACGTATTTCTTTATATTATTGCATAAACCTATTTCTTACGAATAATGTCTTATTTGTGAATTATGATGCCAAATGACATTTTTTGTTTTCACAAAGTTGATTCATTATGACAAGTTTTATTCGAAACAAAACATCTTGGTGACTTCTCCCATAAACAGTAGAACTAAACATATAAACACTTTCACAGGGATAATTTTGATAGTTGGATTTAAAAGTTCACAAACCTGCGAATTTAAACTTCATGAAAACTGTTTTGCTTTTGATAACGGATTTTCCACAATTCAGCTACGCAGATTTCGAAAATAATATTCATTTTTTTCTATCACATAAGGATTTTTTTACAAATCGGGAAGAAAAACTCTCACTTAGATCAAATTATTATTTCGTTTACCACAATAAATATTATTTCCTTTACCACAATAATTATTATTTCCTTTACCACAATAATTATTATTTCCTTTACCACAATAAACATTATTTCCTTTACCACAATAAACATTTTTTTATTATTAATATGTTTGTTAACAAAAATATAAACAAACTGAAGAAAAGGGAAGAACATTGATGTCAAACAAATATACATCCTCATTCATCCTGATTTTTTCTTTTGTGTGTGAAATCTCAAAACTACGTGTTGTGGTCTTTCGTTTATGCATTGTGTTACGATGTTTTGTGGAAAATCTGTACGCGATGGAGAAAATGGATATCATTTTGGGATTCAGCGTACATGAATTACTGTAGAACATGTAAACATTTCAAGAGAATAAAACTATCGCAGGCCTGTGTTATCATTAACTTCTGATCAAAAACAGCTAAATATATAGATCACAAGATAAAATTAATCCTATAATTGATACAACTAATTAAATACATCACTCTTATTTATAATAGCTAGAATGCGATATATCCAGTCGTAATTCCAACAATATATTCATGAGGTTTGGCCAACTTAGGAGATTTACGTTAATCCTAAATCCCCATATTAAGTTAACAATGTAAAATAATCCTTACAGTAAAAGCATACAATTAAAATAATATGATAATTATGTTACACACACACACACACACACACACATATATATATATATTAAACAATTTAAATAATACTGGTAATAAACTAACATTCAAGAAAGAATTAAACATAATTTATGTTAAACGTTGTGTAAACTACAAAAATATTTCACCAGTTCTCTTTGACTACAACAAAAAAAAAATTTATAAAACAATTGTTAATGAAGTAATTGGAATTACTTATTGTATATTTCATATCTTATATAGGTAGACAAATGTAGTTATATCACCTTCCCCATATAAAACCTATTACTATGTGGATCTCTTTAGAACCATTGAAGATTCAAATAGTAGCATGGAAAGATCAGAGGATGGGAACTATAGTAATAATTTTGGTGGGGCTTAGCATAGTAATTCCTTAACATCTTGGTGTTTATGTCCAGAAAAATCATATTGGGGGCTGGAATGCTAACTTCAAGGACAGTTTTGGTGTCTCCCCCATTGACGTCTTGCATTCTATTATTTCTTTCACCTCATTATTATTTTATTTATTTTTATGAGCAACCACCTTCCCACATCTGGCTGCAGATAATGAAAGATGGTAAAGATGTGGGACGTTGTGAGCTAGAGCACTCACATCTGCTCCATTTTTTTATCATGTAAGGCCGGCGAAGATGAGGTTAAACTGGGTAGACGGTTGCCCACCCCCAACGCAATTTGGGCTTTACTTCCGCCATTATCTAAAAAAACCAGGGCACATTACATAATGACCCACATTATGGTTTGTGCCCCGGTGTTGGACGTTTGTATTGTGTCTGCCATTTTTCCCCCATAAAATCACATTTAATATATACGAGGGCTGTTACACTAACCTAGAAATTAATGTGGAAAAAATGCCTTAATTTTGTTTGATTAAGTGTAACGTATAAAACTGGTGAACTTTCTTTCAAAAAAGTTTTTCTTCCATCTTTCAGTGTTTATTTGTTTGTTTCTAGTTAAGTATAAGCATATACAAGGGGCTATCTTATTGTGCTGTCCCCACCACGGGTATCGAAACTCGCTTTTCAACGTTATAAGCCGTCAGATTTACCGCTGTGCCACTGGGGGCGTCTTTCAATGACATTATTAAAAACGTGAGCTACTGATTCTAATTTTGATTCTAATTCTTTCTGTAAAATAACAATACCGGGGCAATTTTTCTTAACTATGGTAGGATGGGGGAGTGAAATAAGACACACGATGGGGGTAAATGTAAATCAAATATAAAATTTTATTGACGGCATTAACTTAAGGGTAACGAGATATTTTAGTGAGATATAAAGAGCATTTTATTTTCCAATTTCTGATATATGTTTTGTGATACCCCCCGCCAGCGTTGGACCTGTACATCGATACCTATAAGGGTAAAGTTCTCAAGAACTAAGCTAGAAAATAGTAAAGTAATATTAAATTCTTGTTTATCAACATTTTATTTGGTATCTCACGTTTGGACTTACAAACCATCTTCTTTAACATACCTACCTTTGAAAAGCTACAACACCTAGTCTTGTTTATTTGTCTTGAAGTTAAGCACAAAGCTACACAATGGGCTATCTGTGCTCTGCCCATCACGAGTATCGAAACCCGGTTTCTAGCGTTGTAAGTCCGCGGACATACCGCTGTGCCATTAGGGGGCTACAACACATAGTCATTGATACCACGTATGTGTCACAGATTTAACCCTTCTTTTACCGAAACTGAACGTGTCTTTTTTCAGTTACTTGTTTACACAGTAATCTGTCCCATATGTATAAATCATTAACTTCGTATTGTTTTTGTTTACCTAACTTTCTGTCCTTTAGTTATAAAATATATCCATTAATAATGGCGCAAAAATACAAAACTCTATAACTCGAGCGCTTTCGAAAGGTGAATCTATCTTCATCAGAGTCAAACCAATTATATTCCAAAATATGAAAAACGTGAGCGAGGTTTTCTTGAATGTATTTATATCAATATATAAACATTAGGTTCGAAATATCGTTTGCTGTTATTTATATTTTGGATTTTAGTTAGTTGGTGGCACTTTCAAAGCTTTGTGGTGAACTTAATGACAATTACTAAACTCAAGATGACTTTTCATAGAGATCCTTGTTTAGAAATACTTTACAATTTTTATCGTGTTTTGGAAACTGTAGTTTGATATATCTTTAACGTTGTATCTACTTAGTGTTCCGTGCTCAAAGTGACAAAATACATGTGAAATCATGTCTTAAGCAGTGTATAAAATCATAATACTTTAAAACATTATATAGAAAGGCATTTTCACTTAGCAATAAATCATGTAAACAAAGTTAACAAACATCTCTCGTCCTGTTTACATGTGCTTATTATTAGGATGTTTTACATATTAGAACCTACTACAGGCATTTTCACTTAGCAGTAAATCATGCAAACAAAGTTAACAAATATCCCTCGTCCTGTTTACATATGCTTATTATTAGGATGTTTTACATATTAGAACCTACTACAGGCATTTTCACTTAGCAGTAAATCATGCAAACAAAGTTAACAAATATCCCTCGTCCTGTTTACATATGCTTATTATTAGGACGTTTTACATATTAGAACCTACTACATGTTGAAATGTAGTTAAACATCTCATCTTTTATGTTTTTCATACTGTATTATCGGGTTCTACAAAACGTCATGCACATCCAAGCGCTGAGTGTGTGAGCATAACAAGCTTTGACGCTAGTATGATACTCATTTAATAAGATAAAAAAAGCATTTTATTTTCTAATTTTAATACATGTTTTGTTTTTCTTAACTGTTTTTGTGTACGATCTAGTATATTTATACACAAATACAGATGCACTTATATGTTAATAAGTTAGTCTACATAGAAATTGATTCTAGAACAAAGCATCTTGGGGTTTCGTACTAATCACTTCTACACTCTTTTTATAAAAGAAAAATGCAATTCCATTCCTTCAGACTACAAGTAAATTATAATATTTTATGCAAACATTAATCGCGTGTTACAGGTAACATGGATTTACATCATTAGTTCTAATACTTTGCTAGCTATAAACAACGACTGCGGTGTTCTGGGCCCTAGAATCTAGGTGAAGAGTTAACCTGACAGAGTAAACTACGAAATATCATTCTTACGTGTTCGCCCAATTGCTTGCTCATCCATGCTGTTCCTTCCTTTTGTTTCATACATGCTTGTCGGAAATTTTTCCGAATTTGAAGAAATCTTATTCTGCATAAACGGCTATCGTTCGTAATTACTAGTTTGTATTTGTAGAATTACCGCCATGCGTTAGCGATATCGTTTGATGTAATGTCTGCAGTATAAACATGCTATTCTTCGATCCTTGCAGGAAAGCAGGGGAAGTGAAACCGCACCCTCAGATATATAGAAGATGTCCAATAGGTGGCGTTTCCATGGAAATGATATTAACAGAAATATTTACACACGCATTCTAATGTCTTAAAAGTTGATACGAACATGACATTTAGCTACAAGTTTTTTTTTTGTTTTTTGTTTTTAATTTAAAGCTCAGATATCAACTGATAATCTCTATATAGTTTACAGCAAAACAACTTACAAAGTTTATGGAAAAGTATTTCTTGTGAAAACAAGTCTCTGATTGATTAAATAATGACTCAGTATTACATGCATTTATGTCTATTGATTTTTATAAAAGTTTAAGCTTTGACATGGGATAAGAGTGTAATTTCTGTTAAATGAAATGATCACGTGGACTTAATTAGAAATAAGTTAATATTCAGAAGAGGACTTATAGATAACTTGATTACATCTTGTGTAAAAATGACGTTTATATGCTTTATATTCAAAACTAGCATATTTATTCTCTCACGATCCTAGTCCCCAACCCCCAGTGGCAAGTCTCTGAACTTGTGACGCTACGAATTGGGTTTCGACAACCCCTAGTGGCTCAGTGGCAAGTCTCTGAGCTTGTGATGCTGAAAATTGGGTTTCGATATTCGTGTTGGGTATAGCACAAATAGTCCAAGACTAAAGGGAAGGCAGCTAGTCATCACCACCCACCGACAACTCTTGGGCTACTCATTTACCAACAAATAGTGGGATTGACCGTCACTTGTAACGCTCCCACGGCTGAAAGGGCGAGCATGTTTGGTGTGACGGGGATTCGAACCCTCGACCCGCATATTGCGAGTCGAGTGCCCTAACCACCTGGCCATGCCGGGCCGTTAAATATTAAATATAAAAACCTTAACATGATATTGATTTGTATATCAGAATAAATCAGACCATTAAACATCGAAACCCGGGTTCTAGCATTGCAATTCCGCAGACATACGGCTGTGCCACTGGGGGAAACGTATTGTGGAGTATTTCTACAAACACTATACAATACTTAAACTACAATATCTAATATTGTAGCAGCAGTAACATAGCTTATATTTAATATAATTCAGTATTGTTTGATATTAAAAAGATGTACAGCAAAAATGTTTTTCGACTATTTTATTTGTATTGGTAGGTGAGTTGTCCACAAGTTATGTATAAAACATCTTATTTTTCTTTGTTGTTGTTTTTTATTTTGTTTAAAACATTCCATTTTCATGTCTACGAACCTTTCCTGCTTGTCACAGTAGTAATCAACACATTTTAATTTGTATCGAAGCTATGGGGAAACTTCTCAAAGTGTGATATTAAAAATATTTGTGGAAATGGTGAGGGAAAAGGTATAAAAGGCAAATGATATCGGAATGCTATACCACCCCTTTATCGTGAGATATTGAACTGTTCAAAGTTTACACTGTAACTGATTATCATGCAACCAATCAAAAAATGCCACATCAATATAAAGCATATAGAAACACAGACAGTCATAATGCAATACGCTCAGTCGTTGTATTGGAATTTTGGTCATGGTTTCTAGGACTGAAATACTGCATGTCAAGTATAAAAATCAAACCTTTGGTTGGTCAAGGATAATCCGTGAGAGAAATTACGCCAAGGCTCCATATTTCAGTATGTAGGAAACACTCTGAAGATGGAACATGAAACTGGCACTGTTAATTACAGCAGTGGTCAAGTAAGAAAACCAAAACTTTCCAAAACTTTATGAAATAGACAGTACACATCTTGTCAATGACCCTACTATAAATACAGGTGTGAATGTTACCTCGAGAACAGTTAGATATACGTTAGACAAAGTACTTTTAATGGAGGTGTGGTTGATTAAAAACCGCTACTGAGAAGAGGTAACCAAATCGAAAGGTTAAAATGGACATTGGGCCACAACTAATGGCGAGAGACGAGTTTAAAACCACGGAAGGTGCATCTCTTGGTATATTGTAAATAATTATTTCTTTGTTATTTAGACACTGATAACAGGGAATAATTTGTTAAATGAACAAAATCACAAAAAAAAAGACTATCAAAAGTAATGTTTTAAAATGTTGCTTCATGGGCTGATTCACGTACTTTCACAAGGGGAACAGAAAAATTCACACTTAGTGAAGACGAAATATTCCTTAGAAAACCCAGTTTTTCTTGCCTTAAGTGTCTTTAATCTGGGATGTTAATGTTTTGAATGTTTCACCCTGAATGATACAGAAAACCAAACAGTTGTTTCGAATAATGAACGGTTGTCTACTCATACACATTATTTGGATTATTTGTGCTCTGCCCATTGCGGGCATCGAAACCCGAATTTTAGTGTTGTAAGCTATGAAGTCTACCACTGAACCACCTGGGGGAGGGGAGGGGGAGATCGGATGCTCATTTGGGCTTCATAGTGCCAAGAACCCCCATTTCGATGACTGTACTTTTGTTTGACTCTTCAAAATATCTGAACTATACAGGAAGAGTGTTTCCAAATAAGTCGAATAAAGTTTTATAAAACTATAACTAGATAAAACTAAGATCTATCTCAGTAGTCATTTTTCACTTTTAAAGCAAGCACATAAAATCATTATTTTGAAATGGAAAAGTAGAGGGGAATGTTGAATCGCTTGTTTGTTTGTAGTTAATCACAAAGCTGTATAATGGGCAATCTGTGCTCTGCCCACCACGTGCATCGAAACCCGGTTTCTAGCGTTGTAATTCCGCAGACATACCGCTGTGCCACTGGGGGGGGGGGGTATATGATAAATTGAAGATATAAAAACATGTAAATTGTAGAGATTTGTCATTCACGTGAACAATGCAAAATCATGAGTTTTTTCGTGATAATGAATGACAACTCATATATATATAGTACTGTTTTTACCCTAGCCCCGGAGGGATGCAAGGGTATTGCATTTGGGTCAATATGCGCGCGTATCTTGCAAAATGATAAACCGATTTACAGAAAATAGGTTGCCCCCATGAGACGGTCTTCCCCAAATCTGGTCCGGATTCTGGATCACTTTGAAGGATTTTTTTAACATGGGTTGATAGAGAATTTTCCAGTTTTTCATGAATAACTCAATCACAAGTGATCAGCATTGGACCAAATTGTATAGGCATATCAACATTGAGACTCTCCAGGATTTCGTAAGAAAATGATCTGGTAATTTTTTGAGGGCCAAATTTGAAAATTCTTAACAATTCAATATTAATTATATCAAGCTATAATTTTGAACACACATAAACTTTTTATTGTGTTTCATATAAGGCCGGTTTTTTATGTCCTATCCCAAACATAAAAGCTCCATCTGGATCAATGTCGATACTATTACTCTCTCATCAAAATCATATATCTAAATGAAGTGGTGAAAATACCATGAAAACAGTATGTTATCAGATACAAATGTATTATAATTTGGACAATAATCCTTAACACGTTGCTCGATTAAAAACAAAGCAAAACTGAACTTGGATCATGCGGATCCAGATCGTCGCCATTATATTGAAATACAAAATAGGTAGTATCTTCGGAAGGGATTATGATAGACGCGTAATTCCAAATCATATGGGTATATTTTATATTACTTATGTAGAATGCATGCTTAAAATGAAATATGTAATATACGGAACAAATTCATGATTTTTAGTGTTTTTTTATGTTTGGAACAATTTAGGTAATCACGGCAACCGGATCCAAAGCTGTATTTTAGAATTGAGGGACTTGGAGAGGGGGGATTAACCAACAGATAACATGCCTATAATAGAATAGAAAGTGCAATAGTCATGAATTCCATGCCATATTGCTAGTCATCTCATAAACTTGAATTTTTTTTTTCAATGACCGAAACTTAGCGTTTGGGGCTTCAACCATCCTCAGATAATGGAGGGGAGAGAGAGGGTATGGGCAGTGTGTTAAATATTAAGGGAATTTTAGTGTTACAAAGAGGCCCCAGGAAAACCAATGGTGCGTTGTGCTAAAAATCAATGACAGATTGGTTCGAATTTGTTCGCTTTATCATAATGACGCCAAATCTCTGCGACGGAAATCTCGTAAAACATTAACTCCTCCAATATCAGCTGGGGAGACACTAATACATGTTACATGTTATTTTAAATAAAAATTTATTAAACCAATTACCATTTGAAATAACGCCTTCAACATCAGTTGGGGAAATACAAATATATATCGGCCCGGCATGGTTAGGGCGATCGACTCGCAATCTGAGGGTTGCGGGTTCGAATCACCGTCACACCAAACAGTCTCGTTCTTTCAGCCGTGGGGGCGTTATAATGTGACGGTCAATCCCACTATTTGTTGGTAAAAGAGTAGCCCAAGAGTTGGAGGCGGGGGG